TACAACAAATCCATTAAGACATTTATATCTATTGAGTTGCAATATGTGAAAATCTGTCATAAGCAATTAGGTCGTTTATTTTTGTTCACTCTCAACAAAAATATGTGTGCTCTCGAATGAAGGACTTATATAATCTAAGAATGTTCTATTTGCTATAACTTAATTAGATTGCTCTTTTTATATGATTATTCTATACTTTATTTATTATGTGTATTACTTGACTTGACTAAGGACTTTTTGGAATGATAATTAGTTTTTTGCAATTTTAAATTTACTAATATCTTTATCATTTGGCTAGAAAATTTTATTTCTTAGAGTCCAGAATTGAAATGTCAAAATGCAAGATCTAATTTTCTAGATGCATTAGTTCTGTTATTCAAATTAATTCTTCCAGAAGTGTAAGCCATGCATAAAACTTTGAAAATATTTTTGAAATGTGAGTTGAATTTGAGTAAACTAAATACATTATTCAAGGATGGCATTCATATAAATGAAATTTTTCTTAATAAATGGATTAAAGTTGAAATTCGATATATCTTTATCAAATATTGTTATTGAAACCATCCGTGTCCCTCACATGTTACTATGATCTCATTATTATGTCACATTTTATTTGACACAAGAATTATGCTACTATATCTTACTCTATTACTCTAGACATTGACATTTTTTAGCTTGTATTAAAAATTTTAACTTGCATCAATTGCATGTTACTGATTTTACTGCAATGAGGTTTCATTATGATTTCATTCATTATTCTAAATATTATTTATTACTCACGAAAAAACGTGATTATACTTTGTTTGGAAATGATACTCAAATGATTGATCTATTCATGAGATGAGTATCACACATTATTTTAGACATCAAGCGATGTTTGATAAGTAAGTATTATTTTTAGTCATTTGCAAGATACATCCATACTTTCTTCATGTGAGGATATATATCTTGAATAAATTACTCATATGTATTAATACCATATAGTAATAAATTCATCGAATTAACATAGATATATATATATTGAAAGATTATGTTATGGTTCTAGACGTAGAGTGAAACCTGGTTTTCCTTGTAATATCATATAATCATGTGATTTTAAAACTAAGACTTTAATGTAGTTTGTAGCGCTGCTTTCCATTTTTATTCTGGAATGGAATCTCAACTCAACTGTAACTAAGGAGGTTAGAAAAATCTAAACTTAGTTTGGAAAAAAAAATCTGCATTTTTTATCAGTCCTATATGCGACATAATTTGGGATACAGTAAATACTGTACATACTTTTCTGGATGAGCAGCATCTTCAAAGGAATTCAAAAAAGTATTTTGTAAATTATTCTTTTGCTTTATAACTATATAGATTGAAGATGCTATGTTAGACTTGACTATGGGGAAGTATATGCGAGAGCCTACTATACATGACGGAGAGCTATCTTACTCACTTTACGTTTTTAGACTATCTATGATATCCAACATATTTACACATAAGATTAGCTAGTGTTATACAAGTTGCAATGTATCATATTTAGATTTTCTCATTGTTTTTGTATGGCTTGGTGCCTGGATTTCTTTCATAAGCCGGGATTAAAAAAAAAATTAGAGGTAGGACGTAGAAAGAGTACACTGTCATTTTGTTCACTTTAGTTGAACTTAATATAGAAGCGAAAACATGTTATCAACTCATCATCATCACTTTGGTTCACATATACTTTTTTTATTACATACATATTTGATGTAAAATTATTTTTGAACTACATATAAATTTTTTATTCCACTCTCTCCTTCTCTGTCTCGATTTTGATGTTGCATTTCGAAATCTATATTTTTATTTCTTGCTTGTCTAATGTTGGTTTTCATAAGATTTAACGTTTGGCCGTCCAAGGTCAAGGGAAGTCAGCAACTTGTATAGAATGTGTCGTGCCACGGTTTCCACATGAACTCATCAAAGATTGTACATTCGTGAGGCTTAAATTCCATTGTACAAACTTTCTTTCAGTTGGGAGAAAAGCACGTCGTAAGTAAAAGTCACGTACAAGTTCAGGAGGTGCTTGCAAAAGACATTAAAGTGAGTCTTCCCTTGCTCTTCAATTTCGGTAGAGCTTCTGCATAATATTCTCAAAGAAATGAAATGAGAGAAATGAGAGATTGCATAACGCCAGTTTTGTACAGAACGAGGTTGCTGTGTATCCATGCAAAAGTGGAATGTGATTTCATATTGTACGTGCTTCTTTAATATACGCACCGTGACAACCAGGAATATATCGTACACGCATACAACAATTTGTAGAATCGACATCTCGCGAGTTACATCCCCAGGTGAAGGATGGTGCAATGAACAAGTTAATGAACACCCTGCACACAAGTCAAATTTCCACTATACCAAATATATTTAAGTCAGTGCGTATCTAAATTTTCGATTTGCATCCCTTGATGGAGTTTCGTTTCTATCAAGGTCTCATGTGTCTAGGATCTCTCTCTCCCGTGTGAGAGAGTTCCGACTTACCTATGATACACGCTTCAACATTTATCACACAAGACATTGAGTGATATAAATAAAAGCATCCAAAGCAATACTTTTGTATAAAGCTTCGATTTGCTCTATGCTCACAAACTGGACAACTCCACCTTAATTGATCAAAAAGACTTGGTACAAACAACTGAGTCATGCAGATGTCAAAAAATACTTAACAATGAACCTCCTAAATATGATAACTGAACATACCGACATACTTTTATGTTTGTCACTGTTGATTTGGGAGGTAGACCATCTGATATCAAAAATCAAGTCCCAAATGACAGAATGTTAGCATTACTGTAAGAAAGGCTCTGTACCTTCTATCTGAATGTGGTTTTATCTTTATTTTTTTGTGTCACCGAGTAATCTGGTTAAGGAGGGCTGTACCATAAAGAAAAGGAAAATTCAGGCCCAAGAATCTCATACGTAGTCATAGTGTTACCGGTAGACATGCAAAAGCGTCCTAAAAGACTCAATTTTGTCTCAACTGCCATCTCGATATGTTCTCCCCCGAGTGCAGATGCACATACATTAAAAAGTTCGTCTTCATAGGGGAAAAGCACAGCACGGACACAGCCAAGTGTGCAGTAGCTCGACACTAGGCGCAAAGCCCACACCTTTATATTGTGCCAATTACCAGAACATTCACCAACTTTCTAGACCTCTCTGATTGAAGTAGACTGAACATTCCAAACATGTGAGCGCTTGAAATGAAGGCTTTTCGATTTTTAAATGAATGGAAGAGAGGAAAATTCCTGCAATCCCTATCTATCATGCACCATGTACAAATCTTTCTTTACTTCCCCAGTAGATGGAACACAGAAAGGAAAAAAAGCGAACTGTGATAATTGCAATGTAGCAAAAGAGGTAAGAAGGTCATATTAGGTGGTACAGATGAGTACAGAAGATAACACGTAAAGCAAGCACATTGACAGGATCGCTCCCATGCTTGGACCCATGACCTTTAAAGCCTTTGAGTGTTCAAGCCTGCAGGAGGGATCTTTGCCAAAGAGAGTGGATAAACTGGGCGGAATCAAAAGCGACCATGCTGGGGATCGAACCCAGAATCTCTAGCTCCGTAGGCTAGCGCCTTATCCATTGGGCCACACGGTCAGATACAGGGGGCGCTAGAAGGAGGGGTCGAACCTCCGACCTTGTGGTTAACAGCCACACGCTCTAACCAACTGAGCTATTCCAGCCGATGTCCACATGTGATAGGAAAAAATATCAGTAAAACTATTTTCCTGTACACGACACAGAGTTCCTACTTTCATATTGAAACTTTCGAAGCCAATTAAAGCTATGATACATCAGATAAATTATTTCTAAACAACTTCAATAAGAGAATGACGCTAAGAGTAGTTCGTGGATTTGGGATGATATGGCAAAAAACTATGGAAACGGACTTTTGTACAGAGAAGAGAAGGGTAATTGGCCTGAGCAGATGATGAATTTCTGTGAACATTTATCTAAACTACGAAACCTCGACATCACACATTCCACAGTAAAGAGAATGATTACCGTCTCATACGCCTCCTACTTTCAAGACAAATTGAACCCTTGAGAAACAGGCGATGCAACGTTGGCAAGAGCGCCAAGTCTTCTTCAGGCGGCCACGAAATCGAGAGTGCCAGCAGTTCTTGATCTGGTCCAGGAGAAACTAAAACTCTTCACTGGCCGCATAAGAGATGATCCTGTATCAGGATTCGTTAAGTGCAATGCAAAACGAAATTCAGACCAATCGTCGCAGGAACACAGGGTTCAATATCTCAGTCAGTCGGTGATCCCTTAATTTATCTTCATGCTACTCCAGTGAGCTCTGAGTTGAAGTTACGTAATCAGGATGACCAACAAAAATTTTAGGTTTAGGGATCCATTTCCATCACTCAAAGTTCTTTAAATTACAGGAAGTAGACATTTCATTTGAGCTCTCAGTCTGCTCTATCTACGACGGCCTTGTCCTGCAGACTTAGAAGTCTGACTTGGTGCCATGACTAATAAAGAGGGAATGTATGTAATATGTAATCACAGCACAATTTGATTTTATACCTGTAGAAGTTCCTCAATACAGCTCGTCCAGACTACTGCATGAGACTTCCTGCACTTCATTCTGTCCTACAGCTGAAGCAGGGACAAAGTAATAAGCAAGGTACAGGTCTAGCGAGTTTTAACTTTTTGGTCCAAATAAAACATTGCACCAAAAAGATTGTGTAAAACTGTTTCATATGCTGATCAGATCTTGCTGAAATGCACGTATATAAATTACATGCATTTATTGTTTCTTTCAATTACCGCCTGCATCTAGATACTTAATGGAACTACGGGAATCAAGCAACAGGATGCTGAAGCATATTATCACCCATAGTTTAAGGAAGGAAGAAACTCAAAAAATTCAATTCACCGTGAGGTGTTCCATGAACTCAGAGATGACGCACAGAAAACAATGATAGCAATTATTTAGAATGAGATCGAAACCAGACAATACGCCGTCTGGACTTGCGGATCACGAAGTATCCGGATATTTCAAACTAGCTCACAGAGCACAAAAAACCGCCAACATCTGAACAGTGCAGAATCAGTGCAGCGCTGACAGGACTCAAGAGACCGAATTCTTCATCGAGAGAAGCCGGTGAGTCTTTAGTTCGTTGGCTAAGCAGAAAAGAGCTCTCGAGAAAAAGACATCAGAAATAAATGTTGCTGGTGGAATGTGCGCAAAAGTAAGTGTCCTTACGATGTAGGCCAACCGTACACTGCAAAATAAGGGAAAATCTGTTAGAAATCAAAGAGACCAATTCTCGAAATGAGAGTAGCCAGTGTGTGTTTCACGTCAGATCATTTGAAGAAAGTCTCAAATCAAGTGTAGACAATCCTCTGATAGAAATTTAAGGGGCCAATCTAGCAAATGAGAGGACCCAGTGTGTGGTCCACGTCAGTTCACTTGAAGAAAATCTTAAGATCAAAAGTAGTGGGAAAAAAAAGTGTGGCTGCTGGGATTCGAGCCCAGGTCTCCACGGCCACAACGTGGAATTCTTACCACTAAACTACAGCCACTTCATGTACGAGACCGATTTCTATAAATTATTATTTTCAATTTTAATGTCACTACTATCCTGAATGACATTGACTTTTGTATCAGTTTGAAGATTGACTTGGCACTTTATAGAAACACTACACAACAAACCTCGTCATGGACTTGAAGAACGTTGCGCTAAACGAAGAAACTTGCGCTAAACGAAGACTCGTAATCATGCAAATGACGCCCATGCTTACATCCCGATCCAAGATCATCCACTTCTGCCTTGTGGCACAGAGGATTGCAATTATTTCATACACTTCCAGTATCCTCCAATGTTATCTGGAAAAACTCCAACAGAGACACACACCTGCTTTTTGGCTGCGGGATCTGCACCGTCTCATGCCTTTCAGGTCGATGATGCCGAAGGCGAATCGAGGAACTCAGCTGACGATGGTTTCCGAAACATGCTAATTTCGGTCCTTGCAACCAACAGGCCATGAGCCAGACATGACAAAAAGGCTGAGACAGATCTTATGCAAATTACGCACAAACTATTCATCCCCCGCTAGATCCTCAGTATGTCCTTAAATTCATACTGCCTGCATAAAAACTAGTACGCTGACCCATGAAAACAAGACATTGATTTAGCCACATAATGAGTACACAATGCGCGCTGCAGCCACTCCCCGTCACGCACATCTATCAGGAGGCGCCTCGCCCAACTTCATTAAACTTGTCATTCGTGTGCTGTCATGGTTCAGTCAAACGTGAACTTCTGTCACAGACAGACAAATGGTCACTACGAGTCAGGGCTACGACAAGTTGACTAGCACAGCACAGCATAACGGAGACAGAGGATCAGGCAACATTGTCGGTCCAGTCAAGACATTTGCGTGTGTATATATATATCCGGTCACAACCAGTTAGGAACCAAGCAAGATAGAACGAGGAAATAAAAGTAACTTGCAGAGCCATGGGACAGTCGCCCTATCTCATTTGAGATTACAGGGAGACTGGATCACAAAACCAGTCTTGTTCATCCATCGCAGTGGGTATACTGTTTAAAGATGAGAAAATTCTCTGCTCTGTATCGAGTGTTCCGTGTCTGTTTGTCAATCGAAGACTGGGGATGGGCCTCACTTTGAACTGTCCATGCAGGGTCCTACACATTGTCTTCCCTGCTGCAGAATCTTAAAACCACGTCAGACACCACGGAACGTATAGAATCCAAACTAAGAACTATCTTCCATGAATACTCTTAAGAATACAAGCTCTTAATCCTTCAATGCTTTAGGAGCACCAACTAGAGAGCATGCTTCGTGATCACCCAGAGACTTCCCTGCAGAAATGAAAAAGAAGTCCCAGCAATGAGACAAGGGCGCCGCTGCCGGGGATCGAACCCGGGTCACCCGCGTGACAGGCGGGAATACTTACCACTATACTACAACGACTTGATGCCCGATTCGGGCAGGATACTATATTATTTCATAAATGTTTTCAGTTAAGCAAGAAAAAGTTTGACTGTTAATCTACCGTCATCGTTATTACCTTATCATCGAGAGATTTCAGAGCAGAATCTGTTTTCATACCCGGAGTTGAAATATTTACCCCAAAGGATGATATGCACATAAATCAAAGATCCAGAAAAGCCAAGGAACACCTAGAGCTTTTTAATATCTTCGACATAAGTGAACACCCGATAACACATTTATATAACGAGATCCGAGCACTTGAAGCTGGAAAATGAGGTGCCAATGCCAGACTGATTTCATCAACTTCTGGGTTTGTAAGCCTTGTAAGCCAGTCACAGAATCTGTCTATAAAGTGGATCCACTTGAGAGATGATGGAAACTTGAACACTTGATAGTGATCAAGTCCATTCGACATAACGTCTAAGATTGCCTAGCTACGAACTCAGCTGCAAATTTTGAATACAGTACTTCAGGTAGCGGTTTAGTATTGATTTACGCTCAGATTAGCTCAGCGAAAAAGAGAAAAACTTATGTTATGTGCGATGCTTGGTTGAGACAGCCAGTTATCACTAAAGCCTACGACCTGCATGTGTACATTGTACATTAGAGGAACCGAATGAGAGAGACGTGTCTCGTAGTGGAGTCTTTAACGTACGTACCTGAAATTCGTCCATGCTCAATTATATGACGAAGTGACAGCAACTCCTTCCTCTGGCCCAAACTGGTCTCCTCTGAAATCAACAGACCGTTCACTTCATCTGCAATTACACAAAGAGTTTCGGAAGACATGTGCAATCGTTTCCCGCAGTATCAACATTAGAGGGGAAGATAGATGATGCAAAGAGTGGCTCATCACAGTGCACCGCTGAACGCTCTTCCAAACTTTCCTGTACTACTTCCCTTCTTAGCATGTCACCATCTATTGTGGGAAAACCTGTTTACAATTAGCCGGGCTTGAGTTTACAAGTCCCAAAGTCCCGTATTATACAAAAGTGTCTGATGAGACTTCTAACTGAGACAAACAAAAGTGTCTCATCCCCATATTATACAAAAGTGTCTAATAAGACTTGTAAATGAGACAAACAAAAGTGTCTCATCCCCATATTATACAAAAGTGTCTAATAAGACTTGTAAACGAGACAAGTAAAAGTGTCGGATCCCCATATTATACAAAAGTGTATAATAAGACTTGTAAATGAGACAAGCAAAAATGTCTGATCCCGGGCTCGAACCGGGGACCTCTAGTGTGTGAGACTAGCGTGATGACCAACTACACCAACCAGACAGATGAGATCTGGGCACTCCAAACTAAATATAATCTATTATATAAGGTCAGATATAATTGCCCGGATGTACATCTCCTGTTCGAAAGCGAAACAGGATAATCAGAAGGAAAAATGTCTAAGAACATTTCATTAACAACGAGTTATTAAGAATGAGTACTTTCAAAGGTCTGTTTAGTATGGGTCAGGTTTGACCTGCACTACCGCCTTCGGCTCAGAATCGCGTTTACATCGAATCCCGTTCCCGTTCCCTTCTGATGTAAAACCTGAACTATTATACATGGACGATAGTTATATTCTACGTACTTGAGAAGTATAGTTACCTTTCACAATCCTTGAAAATACGAAATTGGTCACTAAGATCTTAATGGTTCCGATTTTGGACGGGTTTAGCTGCACAAACTTATACATAGCCCCTATATAGGGCCTGCATAGACCCAGGCAGGTGTCATCCTGCAGTGAGCCGTAACGGAAGTTCTTCTTTTCGCTCTGACTCTACTCCTTTGGACCAAAGATGGAAGAATGTGCGGGCTGACTAACCGGGCAGGTTTTTGATTGGCACTCAGTTTTCCGGTGGAGCATCAAAGTGACTGAAGTAGATCGCCTATCCGGCAGACGGATCTAGCGATGGACTATAAGAACATATGGGCATCCATCCGCACTCAACTATGAGGGAATCCCTATTCTCACAACCTGGTCGACGTCATACTGACGACCATAGTTTTTCACAGCAGAATTGTTCAACCGATGTTTGAAACTGTGTCGACCACCTTGAAAATGTTTCTCTTCGTGCTTTTCCCTTCTTCCCCTGCTACCTGAGCACATGAATCCACCGGAGAATGGACCGAATAGGCAAGTCACAATTCGCCAGTTAGTCTTTCTGAATCAAGACCTGAATCGACGTATCACTTTGAAGAGAGCAACTCGGCACATTGATAAAGTCGGTGTGGATGATCCAACAGCGATGGTTGACTATGCTAGAAAAAGGTCGTTTCAAACACGAGTCAGGGATAGGAGTAACATTCAAATTTTTTCTTGACTCGCTGGTTCAAAGTGCGCTGGTGATAGTTGGGGAACTCCGAGGAGAGATCTTCTTGCCGAGCAGGTGATATCTAGTACATTGGTTCACCCAATTGTGGAGTTCATGGTCTTCAAGTTTCGTGTTCAGTCCTCTACTTCTAAATGCTGAAACCTTCAGCCTGTTTCTATCAAAGGGAAAGCACTCCTGAAATGTCCAGAAACACGGACATTGTCACTCAGAAACTTTTGAGCTTCGATCTCTCCGGATGAATGAGAAGGGTTCTGTCTGATATGTTAACCTTCTAGGACTGACTTCGAGAGCCATATTTCTCAAGGTCTGTCATGGTGCTTCGAATTACATGGCCCGAGAACTGAAGTGCACCTTTGACTTGAGGTTCTCGGTTGGAATATAAATGCTCCTCTTGATAGCTTCTAGAGTTATTTGGATGTATCGTTGAATAGCCAGAGATCAGATAAACATATAATAGCGAGAGAGTTGAGATGTGGAGCTCCTTCAGTTTGGTTCATATTGCTGCGCAATACAAATTGTAAGCATGTCCTCATTCTGATCTAAACATTGGGTTACAGACAGGTCAGAATTATTGGTCGAGACAAGCCCGCACGATTTACATTCTCTCATTCTCAAGACTCAAATTCTATTTTCTTCCGTATTTTTTCAAAACTTTATTTTTTGAGGATGATAAGTACCCTCTCATCTCCGAGTTGTCGAATGTGCCCATGAGCCTCATCAGAGAGCAGCTATCAAAGTCAGCAAACCGGAATTTAGAGAAGAACGAGAGACATATTTGTCCTAAGTTCAGGTGAATTATTTAAAACTCAAATGACACATGAAAAATTTCTGATATATAATAGGCAGACGTATTCTGCAAAGCTACTCTTATGGAACTTCTGCCAGGTTTTGAGTACATCGTCTGATAACTGGCAACTTCTGTCGGATGAGACAAAACCTGTATTTGGAACTCGCCACCCTTTTGGCTATTACAAGCCTCTGTCGAATCAGTCCTCACTACTCTCCGTACTAACTATCCAAGGTCTAACTTGATTCACTCAAGCATGCAGTAAGTTCACACAACACACCTATGACCAGAAATCTTACAGCAGATGCTTCTGCTGACTTTATTTATGTCGTCAGATATACACATGGTTCTGTGATGTAGGGTTTAGTGTGATACTACATTGAGTTCGAGAATAATTCTCCAAATTCTGACAAAAGTACTGTATACGTCTTCCTGTTTTCGTCATGAGAGTTCTCAAGGAATATAAACAGCATAATTTGGAGGTGTTCTCTCTCATTTGCAGTTGCAAGGGTTGCATGAGCACTTGTCACCTCACTTGCATCCTTCGTTGGCACCCTCAAAGCTGTATCAAAAAAAACAAAATTATAATCAGATATTGATCGACCGTCCCAAAATCCAAGAACGGTGATTTTATGAATGTAACGCCATGAGTACATAAGCCACCATACATGTTTACAGGTTAATCAAGCATGAATTGCAAACATGTGTCCAATATATAGAAACCGGCGGGATGATAAGTACCCTATCATCTCTGAGTTGTCGAATATATCCATGGACCTCATCGGGCAGCAGCTATCAAAGTCAGCAAACCGGAATTTAGAGAAGAACGAGAGACATATTTGTCCTAAGTTCAGGTGAATTATGTAAAACTCAAATGACTCATGAAAAATTTCTGATATATAATAGACAGACGTATTCTGCAGAGCTACTCTGATGGAACTTCTGCCAGCTTTTGAGTACATCGTCTGATAACTGGCAACTTCTGTCGGATGAGACAAAACCTGAAATCGAGGCGAATTACATATCTCGTGCGAAATCTACTTATAGAAATGGTCAGCTGCACCATCAGAGAACAAACAGATGCAAAGGATGGAGGGAGGGGAGCAGACACTTATGGCGTTGAGAGCTTGTGAGAATTCAAGTTCAGCACAAACAAAAATTCCCAAAGTCTCTTAAACACATGCATTCAATGTAACATAAATTAAGCATAACACCTGAATTCTACAATTAGGAACTATTGTCACAACGACTTTGTCCACTTCAGAATTCAGGTCAAGTCACTCAGTGTAGCTTTCAACCAGAAGCCAGTCTCAAGTTTAATGGTGCTCTACTTCACTGCCAACTAGAACCAGAAATCACAGCAGCAAGACTTCAGCATATAACTTGGATACTTTGCCCCATGGTCAAAAAGCTGAAATGTACATGTGCAAATCAGCTACCACTTCTTTCGAGCTACATTGGAGCCTATCTAGGTAGAGTGGAAAAAAAAACAGGTCTGAAAATTGCCATTGAAGACTTTTGTAAGTGAAACTAACCAGTATCGAAGTCCACGTACGACTTTCAATTCATCGCCATATGTTAGCACGTCGTGTCCTCTCACCAGGTGTCC